GACTACATTTATTTCAGAAGCATTTTGGCTGTAGAGCAGTGTTATATGAAGAAGGGTTTACAGGAGCAGGCTGTATACTTGCTATTACTCAATTTAATTGTTTTGCGTCTGAATTTCAATCAGTGGAATAATGTAGTCAGTGACCCACTCTGTAAAGCACTGTGCATTGGAAACACGTCTCACATTCTCAACTACCTTATAAAACTTTCAGACAAAAAAATCATTCTCTACTAAAGTCCTTATAGACAAGAAGACAGTGACATTCTCAATGGAAGAATATTTTTCTTTCATTTCTGAACTTCAGCACAAAAGGCTAAGTAGGAAAGCAGGAGGTAAAGTTTTCTAAGGATAAATTATTTAGGGATGACCTGAAAAGGGATTTATCATCCAATTCTTGCTGGCTGAAGCAGTAGGGGAATGAGGGACAAAAAGAAATATAAAAAATACCAATAGTAATAATAATATGTGGCATTTGTGTAACATCTTCCATATGAAAATATCCCAAAACACTTTACAACCTATGGGCGAGATCATAGTCTATGCTGCAAAAACCAAGAAAGGGGCAAAGAAACTCAGCAAGACACCACTCCTGGAATCTCTAGCATATTGTCCCATCAGGGGAAGTAGGGTTTTCCCCTTCAAGTTTGTGGAACAGGCATGGGGAGTGGGGGAACCTCCATTTGAAAAATTAGCCCCATTCATGCAGAGGAGAAAGAGTCTTGATTTTTCACATTTTGTACAAAAGAAACACACACGCACCACAAAATGTGTGGTGTTTAGCTTAGCTACTTTGGATAGGTGAAGGGCACAGTTAATGCTGTTAAATTACAAACCCAGTTCCCCCGGGTGGTTTAGGCATTTCAGACTTGATGCACAGACCATTGAAAAGGATCTCTGACTTTCTACAGTTTTTTCAGCACCATTAAGTCGTACCTGTGGCGAGATAGATGATATGGAAAAGCATGTCCTTGCCCTGCACCACATCCACTGCCACATGGGAAAACCGGCTGTTGTCCTCCATGAAGTAAGGAATTGGAATAACTGGCTGAACCACCTCATGCATTAGAATAAATTTTTGGGCATCCTGAAGATTCCTCTCAGTCAGATTCATGTACAGACCCTGGTCCATTGTACCGCACTGTAAATAAATAAAAGTATATATATATATATATATATAGTAAAGTAGATCTTAACACCCATATGAAATCTTAGAACCACGTTGTGGAATTCCAAAATCAAGCCTTAGTTATGTGTTTTAGGGGGGACAGCATCATTCCACCATAAGTGAGGATCCATTTACAGGAGGCAGTCCAAAAAGAATGACTCTGCAGATCATTAGGTCTTTATTTGTATTGTGAGGGATAAGTCTAATCAAAAGAGAATGAGGTTACAACAATATCACTTTAAGTTATATCATAATTTCAGAAAAAGGTAAGTTATGAAGAATAATTCTTTCCATCCCCTGTTATCCAGTCCCAGCATCCTGCAGTCAGAGGCTTAGAGACACCCAGAGCATGGGGTTGCATCCTTGAAAATCTTGGCCAATAGCCTTTGATTGACCTATCCTCCAGGAACTTATCTAATTCTTTTGGAACCCAGTTATACTTTTGGCATTCACAACATCCCCTGGCTATGAGTTCCACAGGTTGACTGTGCATTGTGTGAAGAAGTATTTCCTTTTGTTTGTTGTAAACCAGCTGCCATTAATTTAATTGGGTGAGCCCTGATTTTTGTGTTATGTGAAGGGGTAAATAACACTTCCTTATTCACTTTATCCACACCATTCATGATTTTATAGATATCTATCATATCTTCCCAGTCTTTTTAATCTCTCCTCATACAGAAGCTGCTCCATACCCTTCTCAGTACCTTTTCCAGCTCTACTATATCTTATCTAATATATATCTCTATATCTAATATATCTGATTTAAGCAATAGGTTACACACCACAGTTAGTAGTTCTGCAATTTCATATTTGAGTTCCTTCAGAACTCTTTGGTGAATACCATCTGGTCCTGGTGACTTAGTACTTTTTTAATTTATCAATTTGATCCAAAACCTCCTTTACTGACTCCTCCATCTGGGACTGCTCCTCAGATTTCTGATCTAAAAAGAATGGCTCACTTGTGGGAAACTCCCTCACATCTTCTGCAGTGAAGACTGATGCAAAGAATTCATTTAGCAACTCTGCAATGACCTTATGTTCCTTGAGTGCACCTTTAACACCTCAATTGTCCAGTGGCCTCACTGACTGTTTGGCAGGCTTCCTGCTTCTGATGTACTTACAAAAAAAATTGCTATTAGTTTTTGTGTCTTTTTCTACAAAAACAACAAGGAGTCTGGTGGCACCTTAAAGACTAACAGATTTATTTGGGCATAAGCTTCTTCAGAAGTGAGGTTTTTACCCACGAAAGCTTATGCCCAAATAAATCTGTTAGTCTTTAAGGTGCCACCAGACTCCTTGTTGTTTTTGTAGATACAGACTAACACGGCTACCCCCGATACTTGTCTTTTTCTAGTTGCTCTTCAAATTCCTTTTTGGCCTCCCTAATTATACTTATACTTATTTTGCTCCATGTGAAATCTTCACACTCAAAATACCAAGAACTCAAAAGCTTTCCATATAAATATAGACTTATTCAGCAGTTCAGCTAACCCAACTGGTGTACAGCATTTTCAGCCGTAGAGTCAACCATATTACTACAAAAAGGGCCTGGGGCTCTAATCAATAATTTGAGGCAGATTCTCTGCCCTGTTCTGCTTCATTTGCATCACTCAGGCAGCACAAAGGAAGTGGAAACCACCCGCAAGTCCCCTGCTGGAGATTCTACTTCATGGATGTAAAGATCTTTTGACTCCTAAAAGGCGGCCATGTGGTCTTCTTTCAACACCTTCATTAAATCTACAAGTCAGACATGCAAACATCAACATTAGGTGAAAGGTGCTGCACACAGTAGTAACTCAGTAAAAACAAGTTACCTTTGTAAACTACTGATATTATATAGTTTCCCTTTCTATTTCTCCCACTGGAGCTACACTACTGATAAAATCTAATTATTAGGATCTGTGTAACTTTCTGGGCAGAAAAACAGGAAAATTTATCTGTACTTACCTAAATTTTTCTTTTCTTTTTTAAGAAAGTTTCACAGATTGACCCACCTTTGGACTAATTAGTTTTACAATATGGAATCAGATTTGTCAGCCATTTTCAGGGGATGTACAGTGTTTTAGCTACACTACAGCTAACAAGTTTAAATGAAGGGGCACACTGCTTCACAAACTATTTTTATTCCTTGTTACACTGAAGCACCTGTAGCCTTTCCTACAATAAAATAGTGAGCACTTTAGGAGGGCACTCCTTATACCTTTCAATGGCAAGCCTGGTTGTGCCAAGGGTTGCCAACTTTGTAATCGCACAAAACCGAATACCCTAGCCCTACCCCTTCCCTGAGGCCACACCCCCTTCCCCGAGGCCCTGCCCCCCGCTCACTACATTCCCCCTCCCTCGGTGGCTCACTCTCCCCCACCCTTACTCACTTTAGCTGGTCTGGGGCAGGGGCTGGGGGTGTAGGAGAGGGTGAGGGATCTAACGTGGGGTGCAGGCTCTGGGGTGGGGCCAGAAATGAGGAGTTCAGGCTGCGGGAGGGTGCTCTGGGCTGAGGCAGGGGGCTAGGGTGTGGGAGGGGGTGAGGGCTCCGGCTGGGGATGTGGGCTCTGGAGTGGGGCCAGAGATGAGGGGTTTGGGGTGCAGGAGGGGGCTCCAGGCTGGGGGTGGGGGAGAGGGGTTCAGGGTATGGGATGTGGTTCTGGGCTGGGGCAGGAGGTTGGGGTGCAGAGAGGGTGAGGGCTCCATCTGGGAGTGCAGGCTCTGGGGTGGGGGATGAGGGGTTTTGGGTGCAGGAGGGGTCTCTGGGCATGGGGGGGGGCTCCGGGCTGGGGCAGCACGCGGAGCCCCATGGCCCGCCCTGCCAAGGAACTGGCTGCTTCCGAGGCACAAAGCAGAGCCAGGACAGGTAAGGAATAGCCTGCCTTAGCCCTGCAGCACTGCTGACCAAACTTTTAATGGCCCGGTCAGCGGTGCTGACCGGGGCAGCCAGGGTCACTTTTTGACCGGGTGTTCTGGTCGAAAACCAGACACCAGGTCACCCTAGTTGTGCCCTCAAAGCTGTAACTGGGCTGAAGACTTTGTTAATATCTGTGGATCTTCTTGCACAGAAAGATACACTATTTTCTGACCAGGGATTAGGAAAAACATTCCTGCCCTTTTCTGTAAAACAATGCTCCCTCTTCACATTGTTCTGGCAATGAAGTGGTGAAGTGGACAAGAGTATTGCAGTGCAGTTACACTTGGACTAGATGCTAATTTTAGCCTCAAACTTGAATACATTGTTCCTCTCTCGAAGATTTGTGAATATCAGGGGATCAAAACTGAGCCCTTATACTGCTACCCTTCAAGATACATCAGCTTTTCAAACCACATCATACTTTGGGGTGAGCATAAACATAGTGTATGTAGTGTTAGCTGTGACCATTTAGAGTGACCAGTAGGGGACGTAGAGCAAGGTGGTAAGAGTGTATGTGAACAGGAAACAAAGTCAATTTTGCATTCATCCCAACCACAGTGTGCTGGGTCTCTGTAATCTCTATCTACATGGTATCAGATTGGGATTGAATAAAGACCCAACAGATCAGAGAACATCCCTGAAAAAAGGAGAAAGGGGGACATGAAGATAGACAAGCAGGCCCTTCAGCCCAGCCAGAATAGTGCACAGAGCTAGCAGTGCAACAAGCAGAGAAAAGGCCTGAAAACACAGAGAATCCAGAGAGAACTGCTTTGATGAGTCCAGGCTGCAACAGGGAGTGAGGGTAAGAAAGCAAGGGACACTGAAACTAGGGCTAGGTGGTCCATAGCAACACCAGCTTGCTTCCTTAAAGGCCACACCACCTTACTCCACACAGAGGCAAATAAACACACAAACAAACAAAAAAAGGTGTGTGTGTGGGGGGAAATCTGGTAAAACAGCAGAGATGGCTACATCTGACCCAGCCTTTTCCCAAACTCCCTCCCTCCCAACAGAATTTGATGTCCAGCCCCCTGAGGGATGGCCACTCTGGGTAAGCAGATTCCAGAGGTTCCGTCTGGCTTCTAGCTTATACTAGCAACCAGAGAGGAGACAATACCCTGCTCTGTACAGTGGGACTTGCAGCAGACAACATTATCCTTCCAAGAAGCCTCACAGCTGCTCAAGTGAAACAGCTCCATACAGTTAAAGAAGTACTGGAGAAGCAGTTCATGTCACAGCACATTATGATTTTTGAGCAAGCATAATTTCACTTATGTAAGCAAGAGAAGGGTGAGTCAGTGAATGCTTTCATAGCAGCCCTGCACACCCTAATCCAGCACCGTGCTACAGGGAGATGAGCAAAGACTTAATCAAAGACAGGCTTGTTTTAGGGCTGAGGGACAGACCAACTATCAGAAAGACTCCAAAATTATCCTAATCTAACACCAGAGACAGCCAAGAACATAGTCCTCCAAAGTCAGTTAGTAAAGAAGCAACAGACTCTTCTCAGGAATAACTTTGAGGAGGAACCCACTGTAGAAGCCACAGACATTGGGAGGAAAATATCTCAGGAGTCCCAGGAACAATACCCACTCAGTTCAATATGAGCACAAAGAAATACAGAGAGGGTTATGCTAACATGGCGTAAAGAAAAGGAATACAACAAGAGCAGGAAAGAATGCTCATAGTGTGGCAAACCACCTCTCGGCAAATGGCTTTGTCCAGCAGGTGATACCACATGCAGGAAATGTCTAAAAGGCAAACATTATGCAGCAGTATGCTGGTCTCAATGCATGGTAACAGCTGTCTTTCAAGACAATGACCTAAAAGACACTGAGATATACCACTTCGAGCAATGGGAGATGACCATAAAACCCCACCATCGAGCACAACAATCACCTTGGGAAACCAATAAACTTCAAAATAGACAAATGTGCTGATGTAACACTGATTCTAGAATCACTTCACAGGAGAATGAAAATACCAGCTCTTCAAGAGGAAAAAAAAAACTATTGAAAGGCCCAGTACAGTCCCCATTAAATGTGAAAAGGAATTTTTTGGCCCTCTAAAACTTGGAGAGAAGACCACATTCCACAAAGTTTATGTTGTAGATGGTCACACACTGCTCTGTTTGGCCTCCCAGCAACCACAGCCCCCAGGCATGGTTATATGTCACCATTGGCCTCAAAGCTTAGATCAAGAAGAGGTTCCCAATATTATTCCAAGTACTAGAAATATTAGTGGGACAATACCACATTAAACTTACAACAAAAGCAAAGCCATTTACTCTGTGACACCTAGAAGAGTCTCCCTCCCTGTACTGCCTCAGCTGCATGGAGCAGATGGATGTCATTTCCAGAATAGACACCCCAGGTGAATGGAGTGCAGGCAGGGTAGTGGTCCTAGAACCAAATGACAAAGTTCTGATCTGTGTAGACTTTACGAAGCTCAATGAGAATGTCTGCAGACAGTGACATGTACACCCATGAATTGAACATCTCTCTGGACATCTTAGTGAAACAAAAGTCTTCTCAAAATTGGATTTCCAGTGTGGGTTTTGGCACATACCACTTGCTGCAGAATCTGCACTGCTAAAAAACTTCATCAACCTTTTGGAAGGTTTTGTTTTAATAGGCTACCATTTAGCATATTTTGGTCCTATATAAGCCAAATAAAACAAGGACAGCTTCATCTGATAGGGGCAGTCCTCCTTCAGGAACAATCACCTTCTCTGTGCACTTAGCAGCACATGAATAATTAGCACTCACCAATACAGAGCAGCACTACACACAAATTAAAAAAAGATGCCTATAGCGAGGCGGTGGGATACCCCACAGCCCCGCTAAGGGACGAGCCCCCCCTAGCACCAATGTGGGCGGAGCCAGTGGATCCTGCGCCTGCCCCCCAGAGGTCACGGCGCAGGACAGGAAGTAGAAAAGCCCAACTGCAGAGCTCACTTGAAAGCCAGCCGCCGGAGAGGCCAGATGCCTGTGGCCTAGCTCCGGGTTGGGAAACGCCGGCAGGCTGTGTCCGACCCGAGGACTGGCCGGGCCAGCCAAGCCTACCCCTGGCCAGCTACCCGGAGGAGCAGCCAAGCCTACCCTTCGCCAGCTACCCCGAGGAGCAGCCGAGCCTACCCCTCGCCAGTTACCTGGAGGAATTGATGGTGCTGGAAACCTCCGAGGACACCGCTCTAATCTAGGTACCTTATGAGGGGGACTCCGGAAGTAGCCCGGGGGCAGCTGACCCTGGTCTGGCTGCAGCACTGCCAGAACCAATGTCAGTGTGTTGTGGTCGGGATCCCCACTGACTTCTATCGCTGCTAGGGCCCCGGGGTGGGACGCAGTGGAGTGGGTGGGCCTGTGTCTCCCCTGCCACCCCACTCACGGGTGGCAGTCTCCCCCTTGCAACAGACACTCAGAACCATGAGCTCCGGACTGTTTGTTTGCTGCCCCGCCCTGACCCAGGGCCTGGGCTCCTATTGAACTATTGGCTCAGCCCCTGCCTAACGGCCTGAGCTCCTGACTGTTTGCTGCCCCGCCCTGACCCGGGCCTGGGCCCATAGCGAACTATTGCGAGGAGGTGGGATACCCCACAGCCCCGCTGAGGGACAAGCCTTGGCCGAGCCCTTCTACAATGCCCTAGCCCCTACACATAGCCTTGTGAATATTTCAGAGACTTTCTAGCGGGCATAACATTTCATGTGGAAACTGACCATGAATGCCTGAAAAAGAAGCAAGAGGCGGATGAATTACGGAGTCATGTCCTGAATCACTGAAAAGAAGGCTGGACAAAAGAGATAGTCAGAACCTCTGTGAAACCATATTGGGTGGCTTCTGGGGATCTTACCCTAAGCCAGCTGGTTATCCCTACATCAATGCAACAGGAAATCCTTGACAGACTGCATGGGAGACCCCAAGGTATTACAAAATGCAGGGAGAGAGCTAAATAGTCTGTTTGGCGGTCTGTACTGAGCAAACAACTACAACAGAGAGTTGAGAAATATGATATTTGTGCTCACAGGAGAACCAATCCACTGGAAGCATTACTACCATCTGCACTACCAGAAAGGCCATGGCAGAAAGTTGGATTGATCTTTTCTATCTGGACAATGCAACCTGTCTTTTGATGACTGATTATTTCTCAAGATTCACTGAAATTGCCAGATTGCTTAACACCACATTGTGATCATGCTCTTCAGAGTCCAAAGATAACTACAGGGCAGACTCGAGTCGGGTGCAAAAGTTCACTGAGTTTACTGAGGCAGTTCCCCACACACCATGGGAAGAGCTTCCCTGCAACCATCTTGTTAGGATCTTCAGACCTTTCCTAGGCAGCCAAGTAGTCTTTTTATAATAAAGCAAAGAAATAGTCACATGAAGAAAATAAACTCATTAGTCCTGTGCCAGGCCTACCTTCTTCTGGAGAAGTTATGAAAATCAGCAGTCTCTGCAGAGGTTCTGGGCTGGTCCTTTCCCCAGGAAGCAAAGGATGGGTTTCTTCTCTTCCCTGGTCAGCCAACTAATGAGCCATCCTCTTCCAATTTTAACTGTCCTTCTTTACCTGACAGTGAGTGCAGGGTGGGGCTGAGTAAGCTCACAGCAGCTTATAACCCTTGCTGGCTCAGTGTAGGGTTGGCATACCTCATCACACACATCAAGTGCAGTTGTGGGGAGGATAAAACCTATCTTTCAGGATTCCAGAGCAAGTAACCTCTGACAATGGTCCTCATTTTAACTCGGAGACCTTTAAGAGGTTTCAGGTATTTATGCTTTCACTCATGTCAATCCAGCCCACATTCTCCTCAGAGTAATGGTGAAGCAGAACGCACATTAAAAACAAAATAAAACAACTTATTTCTAAATCCTCAGATTCTCATCTTGTCTTGTTCATATATGGCTCAAGACCTGTAGCAAATTGATGTCCACTATCCCAACCATCTCTTCACAACTAGATTCTTGTTGGCCTGACTTCTCAAACTACAGGAGAAGGAAGATCAAGATAATACCCATCAGAAGAGGAACTCTGACAGGCACCATGGAGTCAAATCCTTGGGAGAACAGAAACTAGGAGATCACATTTGGATGAAAGATTCTTAGGAAAGGGGGACAGTGCAGGCATGTGTCTGGACACCTCAATCCTACTTTGTTAGGGTGCTAACAGGAATCATCATCAGAACCGGTGTCATCTTGTTGCATCACCAAGAGGACGTACAATACAGCCTGATCACTACCTGTGTCTTCCAGATCTTCTTCCTGCAAGGAGATATCCAGCTAGGGAAAGATGACCTCCTGTCTTCCTGAGGATTACATAAGATGTTGAGAAATCAAGAAAGTCAGAGGACTAGTAGCCAAATATCTTAAAAGGGCAGAATAAATCTCTGCCAAAAGGCTGAAGGTTAAGGCAGTCTACCCTGTCCTTCATAGGGATGTCAATTCTTGTTTAGTTTTGATATTTTATTCCTGTTAAAAGTTGTTTAATATAAAGGATTTATCATGCTTCTGTTTTCAGAAAGGGGGATGTGGTATTAGCTGTGAATATTTAAAGTGCCCACAAGAGAGCAGTGAGCAAGGAGATGAGAATCTGTGTCAACGGAATATAAAATTAGCCTTGCGTTCATCCCAGCCAGCGTGCTAGATCTCTAATCTCTCTCTACTATGTACATACAGTTTGATGAGACAGATGGAACTTTAGTTTTTCATGTATCAAGAAGCACAGCTATAATACAATGCAAGCTTGGGCCTGGAGCATCCAATCTGGTCTGGGTGGGTGGACCCCTACGCCCACACAGAGCCTAACTGAAGATAATGTGACTTCATGGAGATGCATTGGATGCAATGGCAGAATCAGGGCTTTTTATTGTACTAGTAATATCACATTCCTATCTCCCAGATTTGGTATTAAAACTGTGTGTGTGTATGTGTCTTTGTTACATGTTTTGGGGGGTCAAAATTTGCTTATTTTCATGAAACTCTTATGAAACAGCATAAACTTTAAAAACTGTAAAATTTTGGATGGAATTCCATGTGATGTTCTGGATGTTGTGAAAAACTGAAAAGACACTTTTTGTGAATCTGGGAAGTGGAGGATTCGTCCCTCAAAGGCCACACGGTCTAGAAATGTTTGAACAGGGGAGGAGCTCATCCTTCTCTTTCAAATTTAGGGGTGAAAATGTTTATACAAAAGTGCCTTATTCCCTTTTTTTGCCTACTCCTGTGAATAACTTTCAGTCTCCCAAAATTTCACAAAAATCAAATTTCAGGGGATGTAAAATTATCCAGCATATATTGACAAAAAGTGTCCCAGTAAATACTGTTTTTAAAAGCTCACCAGTTTTACACAATATTGTCCTTAAGTTGTCTTTTCTTCCTTTGGCTAATTTGGGCAAAATGTAACAGAAGGATATATTGTGCCTATTATCAATGATACTGTTTCGTAATGTGAACCGATCTCTATACAGTGCAGCTCATTTCACTGATATCCATCTAAATAGATTTGTTTACCCGGTAACTGGACTGGCTCCAGATACAGAACTCCAGTGACTTGTCTCACAGTCTGTACTTGGATACCTTTAAACTGTGCTACATTTTAAAGAAGACTGTTGAGGACTAGTGCCCTCCCCTTCTGTGTAAGTACCTGGAAATTAGGGTTGGGATTGGGGTAAGGCAACCAGGCAGAGCGGGAGTTCTCCTGATATTTGAATGGTCCATTGAAGGCCTGAGTTATGGCACTCAAGTTGAAAACACAAACTGCTGAGGCAGCTATGCTGTTCCTGCAAAACAAAGTGAAAACATAAGATAAATAAAGACATCAAGGAATCAATTAACTGCCTGCAAAAGTAACATTTCCCCTCATTAACTCTGCATTAGTACTTCACAACATGGGTGGGGCCAGCCAGAAAGTGGTCAGGGCCAGGATTCAACTGCTCACAGCAGCACACCACGGGCATCCTGGTTGGACTTAAAAGCTATCCTGGCCTAGCAGCCGAGGGTGGGAGAGTAAATCCTACTGCAATCAAGCTCTTCATCTTCAAAGCACTTTATAAACACTAACTAGCCATTCTTACTACACCTCTGTGTGACACACACTGAAAGTATCATCATCCCCACTTTTTAGATGGGAAAACTAAAAATGAGTAAAGTGGCTTGTCCAGAATATTGAGGGAGCTTGGACTGAAACTAAGGAATTCCTGCCTCCTAATCCTGTTCTTTTACATACGCCATTTCATGCATCAAAGCCACCATTCTTCCAAATAAGAAGGGCACCTCACTATCCGTCAATATTTCTCCTTTTCTAATCAGCCAGTTGTATTGTGACAGGGACTAAGTCTGTTCCCTTTGAAATACTCCCAAGTTCTTGCAGGATCAGAAACCAGGAGATCTGCCCTCAAGCCCACATCTTCCACACAACACTATCACTATGCCCAACAAGTGCCCACTGGCTGGCAAAATAAGCCCATAAGGAGGTAACTTGAACTGAACACTCTAAACTCACTGACTCAAAGAGTTAAACCCTGGCCAAGCCAGCTATAACATTCCCTTATTTTCATGTTGAAAATGAGACATAAAGTACAACAGTGTGCTAATTCTGCATAATGTAAACAATATAGATCTGTATACAGTAACTGTGAGAATGCCTAAAATGGGATTCAGCTGCAAATTACAACTTTGTGTTCGCATAAAAACATAAATAAAACTAACTCCAAAAAGAACTGCAGTATTTGGGGGTTTTAAAATATTTATAAAAATGCTTTTAACAGAAGCAAAATAAATTGAATGCCCAACAGCTAACAGTGAATTAAGGTTTGGAATTACTCTTTTAACAATACACATAACTCATGGAATTAAACTCCTGATTTGTTCTTTTTTCACAATGTTAGATAAATGGATAGATAATGAAGCAGGCAGACAGTTACACAAACTTCCACTGTGGGCAAAAGTGCTGACAAGTGATCCACATAGCATTTATTTCTTCTAACTTACTCTGTTGTTTAAACAAGGCTTTAGAAAGCAAATCTACTGTTTAAGCTTCAAATTGTTATTGTTCAAATGTATGGGAAAGAGAAAATAATCCCTGGGGATCAGACCTGCCAAGAACAGAACAAATAGTGTAGCAGTTCGGATTTACAATCATGGCCAAAAAAGCAATTTGACTCCTTATGCTTGTCAGGCTTATTGCAAAAAAAAACAAAACAAAAACAAAAACACACTAGTAGATGAAAGTAAGTTTCATATTATCCATTTGTACAGAGGCAATTAGCTTCAAGTGTGCTAAAACCTCATCTGATTTACTGTAACAGGCAACCTACTCATCATTTCTGGATCTCCTGGAGCCCATTAAGGACCTAACTCGTAGATTCTGATTGTCTGAAAGACAGTCTGCTCATGAAGCAGCCATGGCATTGGATTTAGTGGTCACATTACATGAATTGTGGGGAGGGCATGGTGATGTCATTCTTAATCTTTACAAAGAGAAACATTTTCATTCACCAGGTGGCAATTTTACAGGTAATCCAAACCAAAATCACTGTAATTGAAATGCCCAGATTGTGGAGTGTTAAGTGCATCCCAGTAGGTCCTAATGGTCCCCTCTATTTACACCGATGAAGAGGGGCATGTTTCTTGTCCTCCTTAGGAGACCACATAGCTTCTCCACAATCGCACTGTAGGGATGGAGCTCTATGGAGGAAAGCATGTAGGGATTAAAGCATGGGCAGTTTCTGGAAATCTAGAGCTGGTAGGAAAATTTCCACAAAAATGTCTGTGAAAAATTTCCTGACCAGCTCCAGTTAACTCCTCTCTGCAGTGTCTATCCTCCTTGGACACAATATAATGGGCAGCCATTGCAGAAACTAGCTAATGGCAGCAAGTCTTCAAATAAAGCCTGCTTTAATGGGGAAAGAGTAGCCTCAGAGAACAGGGCCATCCTTAGGAATGACCCAGGACCAGCAGGTCCACTCTCTGCTTCCCTCACAGCTTCTCAAAACCTGCAGACCATGCAAATTTACCACTTTATGAAACTGCAGGCCCCTCCACTTGGAGAGAAGAATGGGGTTCCAACTCCATGAGATCAACCTCCTATGGTTTCTGGAGTAGTTTCCCCCTCCTGTGGGTTCTTCTATGACAATTATAATTAAAATGTTTCCCCCCTGAAATACATTTCACATTTTACTCTACTAAGAAGAGCTTCTTGCCTTTTGACCTTTCCGCTTGCTGGGATCCACAAAGTGGATAAAGTTTACATTTAAAGGAGCAAGATGACAAAACAGGTCATAAAGACAAAGACTGCACTGTTGGGAGGAAAGAG